CAATAAAATCACCAAGGTTAAAGTACAATTTGAGGCCTGGAAATATTGTCTACCTTTTCCCAATTCCCACTGTACATCTCTGCATACTGTTTTTTAAAAATTAGTGTTAAAAACACAGTATTAAAAGCTAAAAACAGTAAATTGTGCAAATATCTAAAAGACTGCAAATATATTTAACATGAATTTGCATGTGTACACACACACACACACACACATTCATGTTCAATATATTTGCAGTCTTTTATATATAATTGTTGTTTAGTCATTAAGTCGTTTCCGACTCTTCGTGACTCCATGGACCAGAGCACGCCAGGCCCTCCTGTCTTCCACTGCCTCCCGGAGTTGGGTCAAATTCATGTTGGTCACTTCGATGACACTGTCCAACCATCTCGTCCTCTGTCGTCCCCTTCTCCTCTTGCCTTCACCCTTTCCCCACAACAGGGTCTTTTCCAAGGTGTCTTCTCTTCTCATGAGATGGCCAAAGTATTGGAGCCTCAGCTACAGGATCTGTCCTTCCAGTGAATAACTTCTGTGGTTGTTGCTGTTGAGACCTGCAACAGGTATTGGCAAGCAAGACCAAAGTGGAAACACCCATCAGTGGAGGGAAAAACTAGAAGGTTGCCAAAATCATGATCCTGACAACCGTAACCAATTGCATGTGATAAACCAGGTTAAATGAAATATGAATTTCACAAAATATGCCAACCAGGATCCAAGACCAGGCAGGAGAACCAAGAGGGAAAACAAATGGAACAATGGCACTGGTACCAACCAGGAAAAAGGATGGCCAGCCCTCTCTTAAGACTGGTAATCGTTAAGAAAGAAAGGCTGGCAGTACATGTAGAAAGAGATAATATTTGCAGGAATGTTTCTAAAATAAGGCCATGGTGTGACAATCCATGGATGGAATCAGCCAATAAAAGGATAGCATACATCCACAAAAACAGGAGGGTTCCCAAATCAGCTAAAGTCATGTTTAGGATGTTGGTAAAAGCATTTCTCTTAAGGTGAAAGCCAAGTGGCCAACTCATGTATCCATCCACCAGCCCTCCAAGCGGGCAGATAAGGATGGTCATGCAAAGTATGATCACATCCTCTGGTGCATACGATCCATATAGAAAACATTCATGATCATATTTTTTAATAATGTAAAGGGCCAGACTCTATAGAAGGGGACACGTTGTGGGGTTCCATGATGAAATTTTGGCTAGTTCATTCACTCTTTTTCATATAGTTGCCCACTCTTTTCAGCTACGTGTGTGGCCTGTTTGGAGAGAAAACAGATGTGGGTGAGCTATTCTGAAAGAGATGGATTACGACAGTGGCTGAAAACTAAACTTTTCTCTCCTGATTCATAAGCTGATACTGCCAAGCATATACTGTATCAGATGATGATCACAATCACAACCACAATGCACACTGAGTAATTGTTAGAATAGCCTATTCAACAGAAATAAGAATGCTATAAATTATATCAGGAATGAGCCAATCTATAGGATGTTTGCACAAAGACAGCTGAGAGAGAATGGAGTGGATCCTATTTGGGCTCCAGTAGCCAAAATCCTGTTGAGTAAATCAAGCCTGCATAAGGGTGATGATGACATCAATAGCAAGGGGAATTTGCTGGAAATTAAAGAGTTCCTGCTTTAACTGTTGATGGTTTGGTAGAGAGACACCATCCGCTCATGTTTTGTGGATTTTGTACAAGTACCACATAGTTCCCTTCTCTCTGCCCCTATTTCATCACTGAATGGAAAATTCCAACCATTTATTCCCTTTCAGAGTAAAAGAGAATAAGAGTTCAGAGTCTGGGTATAAATGAAAGCGGTGAAACAAAGCCTAATTTTTTTTTTTTTAAAAGTGAAAATAAAAACTCAAACCAGTGTTCCTCAATCTGGCTTGCAGCCGTAGCCATTCTTGCAGAATTTCAGTTTATTTTATGATTCATTTATTTGACATCTTTACCACCCATCTGACCAGAGGCCACTCCGGGCACTTTAGGACAATAAAGATAAGCCTCGTAACAATGACACACGAAAGGAACTAACTGAAAGTTAGAACAAAAACAAAAAATGACAGTGCAATTAAATACATTTTAAAAAGCATTAAGAAGTAGGTGGCAGTTAAAACAAGTGAATAGCTGGCAGATACAGAGGTCTCCTCAGGCAAAATATGTTAGAAAGCCTGATGAAATTGCAGAGTTTGTCCTGTTTGCTTGAAAATTGCCACGTAAGAGACCAGGCAGATTTCAGATGGCAATTCTTAAAATTTCCCTGGTCTGTTCCCTTGGATCTTCCTTGATCCCTGGATTTCCCCAGCTGTTCCCACCACCACCACGCCCACCCCACCTACTGGTCTGGTTCTCAGCTTGTTGTCTTGAGCAATCTCCAAGGTCCGTCTGGCTGTCCGCCTCTCCCAGCTGATGCTGGAGATGATGCCTGAGCTGCAAGGATCTTGCCCCTCCTCTATCCCGATCTGTTCTTCTTACATTTCAGCCTCTCTCCAGATGTTAGCATTGGCCAATAAAGTCTCTTCCTCCAATACAAATGGCTTGGGGTGTATGTATGTGTGACGTGGTTGTTACTGTTGACAGTGAGATGATCCAGGCCTGGCCTCTGTTTCCAGGAAACGGGAAAGCATGAACTGAACTATTGGCCTTTGGCTGGGTGAGGGATCTGCCATTGCCTGGCTACAGAAGCACAGATGTACGCAAGCCAAGCTGGGAGCTTGCTCTTGGAATCTAAGCAGCTTTTTTAAAAAGTCATGGCACTCCTCTCTCTTGGATTCCCTGGAAAGGAAAGCCAGTGTTTTCAGAACAAGCCAGCTCCAGAAATGGATGATGGAGTGTTCCTGTCAAGTTTGAATAGAAATCTGGCAAAATTTCCCACTGGGAGTTTGAATAACAGTGGATTAACACACATAGATGTCGGCTGTGGACATCAATAGATTTTTATTTTATATGCTTTGCACCAGATTAGCCTCTTCTTTCTCCAGAGTGAAGCTGACACACAAAGTGGAGAATTGCTGTCCTCTTTTAACTGGAGAGGAAAAGTGGATTTAAACAAAGATAATCAGATTGATTCTGAAGATGGAGCAGAAGGAAGAATGGGAGAAGGTTATTTATATGACAGGAGCTTTATGTACGGACTTACTTTTTATAGGTTGATCCTACTTTTCAGATAATTACTGTCTCCCACCAGGGTTCACACCCCCAACTTGCAAATCTTTCACCTGGCTGAATCCCAGTATCACAGCTTGTGGTCTTTGATCACCAACAGTGCTAAGCCTCAATTTTCTCACTCTCAACAGGCTCACAACCCGGAAAGGCAAAATATACAAGGAAAAAGAGGTGGATTAAGACATTAGACACTAGAGTTATTCAGGTACTTAGAGACCATTCACCAACCAAGATCTCATATGGGTCAAAATTACCAAAGATAGCAAGATCCTGAGATACTTCAGTGGGTTGCAGAGTTTTGAGTTTCTGGTCAAATTCTCTTTTGCTACACAGTAGAAGTACAGAGATCCATAGAGGAGAATTGCTTCACGTTCTCTAGAGTCCAACCTTTTCTCATTAACTGGCACTTAAAGTCTCAGTAACTCACTTTGAGGCATTTGTGAGAGTAAGAGTAAAAAAACCAATTTTCTTACAGTTGCTTGAAATTAGATTTGTGTATACTGCTTTCTTCACTGCGCACATACTAGCAACCAACTGAACAGATCAACAGCAACAAACAACTGCCAGCAACCGACAAAAGAGAGGGACAGAACACTCAGTGGAGAAGGGCAGCTCTCTTTGAATTTCAAAAGCTGGAAGAGATTATTGTTTAGTGCTAGATAGATAATCACCCCAGCCCAGAAAAAATACATCCCAGTCACTTGAAACAACTTTCTTCCTTGCCTGATTCAGGATTTCCTTAGGGCAACATCTCTTTGTGCATTCAAGCTTAATATCGAATTCATTGCTCCCCAAAAACTGGAGGTCCTCAACATTTAGTGATGGACACACTCTCAGTTTCTGCCCAGTGAGCACTTGCTTACTTATTTGACCTAAGCAACTTTTCAAGGTTGCCACAGATGTGGTGATATTACTCTTCCTTCCTCAGAAGTCTGAAGCTTCTCAGCGTCCTCTTTTTTTTTGCTGGGCTGATTTCAAGCTTAATCAGCAATTTCGATGTAACACACAAGGACATATTTGTATTGGCAAGGATATTGTGAAGCCCGAGATGACAATACTGGTCTATGTGGTTATATCTGTTCTTCGTGACAATGGCAGTGTGAAGCTTGAACTTTCTGGTAATGCACACCTTTTCTGAGAAACACCTCAGAAAACTTCTACTGGGATTGCTTCATTTTGTGGTGGTGGCCGTCAGTGAAGACAAAGAGGTCTTCTTGCGACACAAGCCACCACATGTCAACCAACGTTTACAAATTCTCTCACCCTCAGAAGAGATGTACATATCTCTATCTTGAAACAAACAGGCCCTGTCTGACGAACCATATTCTAACAGTTATGTCATGCGCCGTCAAATCAGAACCAGTTTGTAAGAACTCTAATAGGGCTTTCAAGGTAAGTGAGATATTTAAGGAGTGCTTTTAACAGTTATGTCATGCGCCGTCAAATCAGAACCATTTTGTAACAACTCTAATAAGGCTTTCAAGGCAAGTGAGATATTTAAAGAGTGCTTTTAACAGTTCCAAACTCCTAGTGAGCGTCTATGGCTGAGCGGGGATTCAAACCCAGGCCTGCTGAGTCCTAGTCCATTGCTCTATCCACTACACCACACCGGTGATCCTAGGCTTACAGATAGAGTAGTGCATAATCAAACGGCACAACAAGTTGTAGACTCAATCAGTTTGCCAACAGTTTTTAAAATTTTATTGTACTGCAGCAACAATAGAAAATATCATGAGAATGATTAAAATGGAGATAATGATTGTGGAAGAAAACAGAAGTCGTTCTTCCTCCCGAAAAGTACTGTAAATAGAAAGCTATATTGAATTACTTTTTTTTGCTTCAGCTTAAACCTTTTCAGCAATATATTACAATTTATGCATCAATTTATTATTGATTTTAGCACACAGATTTTGTAATTATATTTTTGATGTGTCTATGCAAAGTCATATTTCTGCAGAGTCTCACTTCTAAGAAGTCAGAAGAAATCAAATCAAATAGGTAAACATTTTCATTTTGTATGTCAAAGTTTTACTATCATATTGTATCATTTTATTGATAGATTTGTGCTTTTATTTTGCTTCTCTCTTTGGGTAGAACTGGAGCTGAAAACCAGTTTACATTTATTTAGACAAATAAACAAACCGACCTTTAGATGTACCTGAGTACATTCAGAGAAATTTCCTAGAATGCCATTTAGAAATCTAGTTTACAATCCGGAATCTACCTTCTTCTTCAACATATCTTTGAATGTAACCTTCAGGTTCTCCCTGATTTCCAACGCTTCCATTGGCCTCCCAGGACATAGTGAATTAGAGGATTCATGGTGCTGTTTAAAGAGATAAGGAGGAAAGAAATCCACATGAACATAGCAGGGAAAGTATAGCCTAGCCAGTCCATGAAGTAGAAGAAGCTAAGTGGCATAGCAAAAAAGATGAAGAAAATGAGTCGGAGAGACTGATTCGTGCGCAACATTCTTGGCAGAGGTTTTCGGGAGAAGTTGTCGATAAACGAGATCAACGAAGAGACAACCACAAGAGGAGTGAGGATAAGGACGTTCCCACTGCTGATGATCCTGATCATTGTGACAGAATGGCGGTATGACCAAACATAGTGAAAACACATTGTTATTCCTGATAAGAAGCCTGCAGTGGACCAGACCAGGAATGAAAGGATGATGGAAGTGCGCGTTGGTCTCTTAGTTCGGTTCCAAATAGGAAACAACACACCTAGACACCTTTCCACACTGATGACTGTTAGGAAGTAGATGGCTGCTGTGTAGGCAAAGAGGAGGAGGTAAATAGCTGGCATCTTTAATTCAGGTGCATAGTTGGCAATAGAAAGAGCAGCCAACACAAGTAAAAATGCAAACAGGCCAAATTCAGCGACAGCCAAGTTGAGGAAGTAGGTGGTCACCATATTAACTTTCTTGAGGCAGAAGCCAAGGCTCCAGATGAAAAACCCTGCCTCCACCAGGCCAGCTGTGCAAATAAAGATTATGAGGCTCTGAAGAACCGGTTCATGGAAGCTTAAATAAGCAGGCGCGTCATCGTAGAATGTGACATTCCGGAGTTCTCTGGCGTTTTGCTTTCGGTTCTCCATAAGAGAAAGGTGGCTTCTCTCCATCATGCACTTAATGAAAATGTTGGTGTTCTGTAGCTGTTGTTTCGTACCTGTTCATGGAAAAGAAAAGGAACAGGGCCAAGTTAGGCTCTTCTAGCTCACTTATGTCTGATTGTTTCTCTTAGAATTTCAAGATGTCCACAGTGCAATTATCAGTTGTATTTGTCCAGGGACAACCAGGGTTCATTTGTGCTGCCCCATGGAAACATGACAGGAATTTAGGGGGAAAATTAGTTTATAGCGCACTAGTGCTCACCAGAATCCTTTGAAGATAATCTGATGCACCGCCTGCCTCCAGGCATTCAGCATCATGGCCTCTCCCAATTTGAAGAGACCCTTATCCAGCAGGCCGAGGCAAAGAGGCCATACCGAAAGCAGCAAAACCAGGGAGCTGGACAGGGGACAGATTGGATCTGTCTTCAATGTGGAAGGGATGGTCACTCCCAAATTGGCCTTCTTAGCCACACTAGACACTGTTCCAAGTCTTCAATTCAGAACACGTTACCATAGTCTCTCAAGACTGAAGGATGCCTAATCTAATCTCTGACGGCCAGACAACGGTGAAATCTCTGATCCATAGGGGAAGGATGGATGCTTAGTTGTGGGGTTTTTTTTTGTTAATTATGTGTTAGATATTTAATGTTTCTAAGTTTGTATGTTTAGACATGAATAAAATTTTGGGAGAAAAAAATCTGTTGGTATGCCATGGATTTTCTCTCATGCCCTCGCTTTCAGAAGCCAGATGGTTGAGGGCTGGGAAAAGGCCAGTTACTGTAGAAGTAAGATCAAACCTGGAATTCCATAGCAGTTGAATTTGCTGTTATTTGCTGTCAAATCGGAACTTGACTCATAGCAACCCTAATAGGAAAGTGAGATATTTAAGGAGTGTTTGTGCTAGTTCCAGTTGGCTGGATAGCTCAGTGGTTTAGGTATCTGGCTGAAGGGCTATCGGTTGGGAGTTCAATTCCCTAATGTGTCAAGCTGCATAATCCCAGAAGAAGTGAATGGTAAACCACTTCTGGGTATATAGAAACCCCCTGAAAAGGGTGGCCGTAAGTCACAGCTGACTTGACAGCACACAATTATTATGTATTATTTATTAGCTCCACTCCACCAATGAGTTTCCATGGCTCAGCTGTGATTTGAACACAGGCCTCCTAGTCTGACACATTTTAGCTTCCAGTGAGAGTCTGGACTTGACTTGATAGATAGTAATCTATCCCCCTCTCTCAGCCACACTTAAAATCTCATTAAGGTTTCAAAGCTTCTATTTGGATGGAATATGGAAAAGCACAATGGTTTTGAAATGGTAATTTCTTTTTTTAAAAGGGTGTATTTTATTTCTCAGTTTGTTCAAACTATATCAAGAACAGAACATTAGGAAAACTGGATTGCATACAAGCAAAGGAGGAGCGAACACTGATAAAAGAATCACTAGTTACTTAAGATGTGTGAATGGCAGAAAAGAGCAATGAATTAAAACCATGACTGGTGAAGGTGAAAGTAGAAAATAAAAAAGGTGGATTACAGTTGAACCTCAGGAAGTGAAAAACCATGACAGAGAGGAATTACGTAACTTTAATGCTGACTACAAAGACACTGGGATTGTTAGGTTTTTTATACTTCGATTCAGTCATCAGCCCAAAGGGAGACTCCAACCGACTTATCTATGACACAGAAGGGCAGATGTGAAGGGTATGTTGCTGGAGATCAAGGTAATCCATACTCTGGCATTAAGCTAAAATGGGTTAAATGAGGATATATGTATTACAGGAAGACAAAAGTCACAGAGACAATAATGATAGAAAATCCCAAGGCAGAAGGACAAGAGGAAGACCTAACATGGGACAGAGTGACTGAACTAAGGAACCAGAGCCGTATGGATTGAATTGCTAAACCGCAGAATCTTTTGGAGGTGGCTAATTCATCGGTTGCCATAAATCAGAAGCAATTTGACTGCACATAGAAACAAAAAGATTCTTTAAAAAATGTTTCTACAATGTAAGAGTTTTATTAAACTGCCTAAATCCAATTACCAGTCCTGACTAGAGGACCTCCTCTGAATCAAGTCAACCTACATAAATGTTGGCTTGTCAAGTTCCCATTGATTCATTGGATGTACTCAAGATTAAGGGTGAGATTTAAGGTAAAGGTAAAGATTCCCCTGACATTTTTAGTCCAGTCGTGTCCGACTCTAGGGGGTGGTGCTCATCCCATTTTCAAGACGTAGAGCCAGCGCTTGTCCATAGACAGTTTCCGTGGTCACTTGGCCAGCGTGACTAGGAAATGCCATTTTACCTTCCCACTGAGGTGGTACCTATTTCTCTACTCGCATGTGCATGCTTTCGCACTGCTAGGATGGCGAGGAGCTGGGACAAAGCGACGGGAGCTCACTCCACCACGTGGATTCGATCTTACGACTGCTGGTCTTCTGACCCTGCAGCACAGAGGCTTCTGCGGTTTAGCCCGCAGCGCCACCATGTCCCGTAAGGGTGGGATTTAGGCCAAGGTAATTAAGCACATTTTTGGTTGTATGCTCGACAAAACTCCTGTAAGGCAGAATTTAAATCATTCAATGTCTGTTTTAGATGATGATGGCAGAACATTTTGCACCATATTAATTAACCAAAGATGAATTGCTACCATCTTTGCAGGGCAAAGATGGTAGCAATGCTCCTGATTGGATCCTTGGAGAACTGCTGCCAGTCAGAGCTGCCAGTACTGAGCTAAATGGACTGTTGGTATGTCTCAGCTTCCAAAGTTCCTATGTGTTGAAAAATCCAGGATTCATTTTGCTGGGACATTTCTTGGCCTCTGCTTCGTTTAATTATTTATTTTATTTAAAATATGCTTACCCTACCTTTCTCCTTAAAAAGGACCCAAGGCGGCTCACATCATTGAAAGACAATATTTAAAGCTGAAGACGATGGTTGGTTTACATCTTAAAAGTCAATATTTAAAGCTAAGATCATAGGCATCCTTCAGTCTCAAGGAACTACGGTAACATGCTCTGTATAGAGAAGTGTCCTCTCCAGAGCATGAAGCCTGGGTAAAGTATATGGAGGATAGGCTGTTACCCAAGCAGCAAATCCCCCCTCTCCACGTCACTGAAATAGTCCAATGGAAAGGCAAGAGCCAGTACAACTGGTTCCAGTGATGTCGCAGGAGTTGGCAGAACGACATGAACTGCCTTCAGGACTCCAGCTCCAGAAGCTAAGAACAATGAGTATAAAGAGGCAGCTTACATATATAATTTTCAACTTTTCCATCTTATAACATGTTGCACTCTTTCTGCAGTCACACACACATACACCCACAGAGAGAGAAAGAGATTTCAACCCAGTCTGGAAGCTTCAAATAATTTTTTTTAAGTGTAACTGCTTTGACTGGTTTTTTTTAAAGTACTTTGTGTTTTCATTTCTCAGAGTGGTATTTGTCTTGTTCCTTTTAA